GCACCCGCAACGCCGGGCAAAGCAGGACACGTTGTTTTGGAACATCAGGGGGACTGTCCTGGCTCTCCCCGAGGGCGTTTGGGGGGTTCTCCGGGGGGCCCCTGGGGAGCCTCCTGGGGGCGTGGGGCGGCCCGTCGAATGATTTCCGGGCCAGCTTCGGCCGACGTGGCGCGTCCTGGGCCATCTGGGACTGTCTCGGCGCTGTCTTGGGCCGCGCTGGGGCTCCCTTCATGGGGGGGGGGTACCTCGATGGATTTTGGGGGGGGGCTCTTGGGGACGTCTTGGGCCTCTCTCCTGGGGCCTCCCATGGGCCGCTCTGGGTCTTTGGGGTCATTTCGGCGACCTCTCTCCCTATCTCTCTCTCTCTCTCTCTCTTGCTCTCTCTCCTTCTTGGGGGAAGGCGCGGGGCTCGCGCGCAGGCTTGCTGGGGCCATGTGAACTTGCACCCTGGCGGAGGTATGCACACGCTCCAGGCCCTGTGGGCCGCAGGCTGTGGACATGCCTGCCCGCGCCGTCGAAAGCGTCGGGGATTGCTGTAGAACGGTTGACGATCAACAAACAACTCGTCGAGCCTCTACTCCAAAGAGCCCCTTCCCCCCTCCTCTGAACCCCCTCCCCCCATTTACGTACCCTTGGCCTTGCTGGGCGAATGGGCCAGCAGCCCGATTAACCTCTAAGGGTCTGTTTAGAACCCCCACCGATAGTGGAAAATGATGATCTGTTCGACACCCTGATTGACGGACTGGGGTCCCGCCAATGGTGGAAAGTAAATATTTCTCCGCGGCAACCGCCGCGCAACAACGACGACGACGACGACGCCGAGAACGACGACGACGACGAGAACGACGACGACGACTCAACTCAACAACTCTAGGAGCGGTGTCCGATTGTCCACTTCACAGCTTTGCAAGAAAAGCGTTTCGACCCTGAGCCGAAGTGCGTAAAAAGTTTAAGCTAAGTGGGACGTGCTCTGAGTACCTGCAAAGGGAGTACTGGCTGCAATTGCGCAGGCACGGGCTTCGTGCTCGGGCTGTCTACAGCGCCCTGGTTAGCCGACACTTGGCCTCACGACGACGACGACGACGACTATTACTACGACCACGATACGACTACGGCTACGGTTACGGCTACGACTACGAGTAGCTAGCCACGAGGAGGAGGAGGAGGAGGAGGAGGAGGAGGAGGAGGAGCAGGCGGAGGAGAAGAGACGAGTTTTATTCCCGCCGGGAGAAACAGGAAGGGGGAGCAAAACTAAAGACCTTCAGAGGTTATGGGGAAACCACAAGGTACCGATACTGCCAGCCACTTCCCAGACCTCCCCAGGGTGCGTTCTGACCAGACTTTCGAGGCGAATCCAGCGGTGGCGACGAGGGCCCCCCAGGAGGCCCAGAAAGTAGAAACCAGAGGCAAGGGTAGTGGCGGTATGGGTACCTTTTCCTCCGACGCTCGGATGCACGGGGAGGTGCGGCTGTTTCCATCCAGGACGAATGAGCACCTCGGTTTAGATCGGGCATGTCCCCCTACAGGCGGACTTTGGAAGGAAAATGAAAGAGAATCAAAAACAAGTTGAATGCAAATTGTCAAAAACAGTCGGGAAATCGTGTTTTTACTGTAGATTGTTTGAGTACTTCTGTAGAGTATGTGACTGTATTTTCGTCGCTGGACAATTTCTTGTACTGTTTTTGAATATTCCTCCTGTAGAGGGACGTGCCCGATTGAAGATTAGGTGCACGGGGAGCTAATCTAATCTCAAGCTGTGTCTGCGAGGTGGCCCCCCTACCGCCTGCAGCACCATCAGTGAGGAAAGGAACGACAAGGAAAATCGCTACACTACGTCGCAGAACAATACGTCACAGGAGGACAGAGGCAAGGGTAGCGGCGGTATAGGTACCTTTTCCTCCTCCGACGCTCGGGTGCACGGGGAGCTGCGGCTGTTTCCATCCACGGCGAGGGTGCAGCGCGGTGGCTTCGCCCCGCAGGCGGGGCGAGGAGAAGCGCCTCCTCCCCCCCCCCCCCGTGCGAGGGCTGCCGCGGCCGCTCGAGAGCCAGCCCGATGGCTGGCAACGGGCCCGCGGAGGAGGCAGCTCCGCCTCCCTCCTCCTCCTCCGCCGCGTCGTCCAGCACATGGGCAAGAGGTCCTCCTCTTGCTCCTCCTCCTCCTCCTCCGCCTCCTCCTCCTCCTCCTCCTCCTCATCATCATCATCATCATCATCATCATCATCATCATCATCATCATCATCATCATCATCATCATCATCATCATCATCATCATCATCATCATCATCATCATCATCATCATCATCATCCTGATCATCATCATCCTCATCATCCTCCTCCTCCTCCTCCTCCTCATCATCATCATCATCATCATCATCATCATCATCATCATCATCATCATCATCATCATCAGCATCATCATCATCAGCATCATCATCATCATCATCATCATGTTCCCTCCCCCCCTCCCTCTATCTCCCCCCCCCACCCTCCCATCATCCATCCCTTTCTCGAACCCTCACGCGCTCGAGGGGGGCGTTCCCCAAGGGGAGCCAGCTCCGCCTCCCTCCTCCTCCGCCGCGTCTTCCAGCACATGGGCAAGAGGTCCTCGTCCTCCTCCTCCTCCTCCTCCTCCTCCTCCTCCTCCTCCTCCTCCTCCTCCTCATTTTCCATCCCCCCCCCTCCCTCTGTCTCTCCCCCCCCCCCTCCCATCATCCATCCCTTTCTCGAACCCTCACACGCTCGAGGTGGGGGACGTTCATCAGCCCCCGCCCCCGAAACCAGTGTTGAGTTTAGCTTGGGTGGTGGTCTGGGGGTTCGAACGGTTCTGTCCACCCGTACCCTCTCCACTGCCGCACCCTCAATATTGAGCTTGGGGGGTCCGGGGAGGTATCTTGCGCCGCAGGGTTCGAGTAGGGCATCGACCACAGATCGATTCACCCCCGAATTGGTTTTCTCGTCGAATCTACGGGCAAATACTCAGAGAATGTCTCAGCAGGCTTGCGAAGATCGCACGCGCCCGTCGCAGACGCGAGGGGGGAGACTCAACTCTGGGGTCAACCCATCCTGCCGTCGATCCCCTGCTCGAAGGGCTCGCACGTACTGTCCAGGCACAGTCCCCCCCCCACCTTCTGGTCTCCCCGCGGGCGGTGCACGGGGAAGCAGCCAGAGAGGCCCCCCCTCGGTCCGAGGAGAGCGGGCACCGCGCGGCGCGACGAGCGAGGCACCCCCGGGGGAGTGGGCGCACGCGGGCGCGTGAAGGTGGCATGCACGATCTGCGCTGCCTTGCACGCCGCCGTGCCTGCCAGGAGCCCACGACGGGGGCGACGGTGGCGCAGTTCGCGGCCCCCGCGGAGGCCGAGGGGTCTCCCCCTGGACCTGCGCTGCCCAGCACTCCGCCGTGCCTCCCACGAGCCCACGGAAGTGGCGACGATTGCGTGATGCGCAGCCGCCGACGGAGCTGCGAGGTCGCAAGTGATCCGCGCTGCCCTGCACTCAGCCGTGCCTCCCAAGAGAGCCCGCGAAAGTGACGACAACTGAGCAGTTTGCAGCCCCTCACCTCCCCCACTGCCTCCCAGGAGCCTAGGAAAGTGGCGACGGTTGCGCAGTTCGCAGCCCACGAGGGATCCGAGAGGTCTCGCCTGGATCTGCGCTGCCCAGCATTCCGCCGTGCTTCCCACGAGCCCGCGAAAGTGAAGACGATTGCGTAATGCGCAGCCCCCGACGAAGCGGCGAAGTCTCAAATTATCCGCGCTGCCCTGCAGTCAGCCGTGCCTCCCAAGAGCCTGCGAATGTGACGACAGTTGCGCAGTTCGCAGCCCCGAAGGAACCGAGAGGTCTCGAGGTGATCTGCGTGGTTCTCATCTCCGCCTTGCCGCCCATGAGCCCACGTGATGTGCGCAAGTTGCGCAGTGCGCAGCCCCCGAGGGAGCCGAGAGGGGTCTCGAAGTGAGCCGCGTGGTCTCCGCCTCCGCCGTGCCTCCCGCGAGCCCACGAAAGCGGCGACCGCTGCACGGTGCGCAGCCCCCAAGAGAGCCAAGAGGTCCCAAATGACCCGTACCGCCCTGCACTCCGCCGTGCCTCCCGGGAGCCCACGGAAGCGACGACCATTGCGCAATTGGCAGCCCCCGAAGGAGCCGCGAGGTCTCGAAATGATCCGTCTGGTCTCCACCGCCATGCCTCCCAAAAAAGCCCACGGCGAGAGCGGCGGCAATTTGCGCAATTCGCAGCCCCGAGGGAACCGCGAGGTCTCGAAATGATTTGTAGGGCCCTCACCTCCGCCGTGCCTCCCAGGAGCCCGCGAAAGTGACGACGGATGCGCAGTACGCAGCCCCCGAGGGAGCCGCAAGGTCTCAAATGATCCGCGTGCCCTCCGCCTCAGCCGTGGCCTCCAGGAGCCCACGAGAGTGACGACAATTGCGCACTTCGCAGCCCCTGATGGAGCCGCGAGGTCTCGAAATGATTCCCACGGCCCCCACCGCCGCCGTGCCTCCCAGGAGCCCACGACAGTCGCGAACGATATACAGTTCGCAGCCCCCAAGAGAGCCGCGAAGTCTCGAAGTCATCCGCGTGGCCCTCACCTCCGCCGCCTCCCAGGAGCTCACGAAACTGGCGACAGGTGCACCGTTCGCAGTTCCCCAGTAGGAAAGCTACGAGGAAGGGAGGCACGGAGGTAGGAGAAGGTCGAAGCAGAAGGCGAGCAGGAGGGGGGAGGAGGAGGGAGACGCGGGAGCAGCGCCCAATTCAAAACGAGAATCCAACACAAGAGGGCTGGGAAAAAAATGCGCGCGATCGCGGGGCCCGGATGGCCAGATACTGCCACTCTGAAGGGGCCGCGCGCACGCGCGCGGGGTCGTCGGGAGGCTTCCGAGAAGCCTCCCAGAGGATGCTGCAGGAACGCTGGGCCGAGAGCAGCGGGTCGTGTACAGCATACTTTGGCTCCCGGATGGGCCCACGGAGGTTTGTGCAGGCAGGTTGCGAGAGGGGGGCCTCCCCCCTGAGGCTCAGTCATGCAGGTCGGCCGTGGACGTGGTGCCCACGGCGCAGCTGCCCAGGGTGCTGGCGGCGAGGGGCACGGACACGTTCACGGCCCAGTCGACGCACGGGGGCGACTCGCTGAGGGCATCGCAGGTGTAGACACCGCTCTGCTCCTGGCACCCAGGCCTCTGCAAGGAAGGCAGGGACGTGGCAGTGGGGCAGGCCAAGAAGTCGCCCAGCACGGAGCGCCACGCGTTGTCGTGGGTGTAGAGGAACCCGTGCCCCCCGCCCTCCATGACCACCACGGGGCCATTGAACCCCTGAGCGTCCATGGTCGCCTTGCAATTGCCAGTGATGGGGCCGCCGTAGCCGTTTTCGCTTTTCGCCACGTCCGCGGACACGGAGCTGTTCGAAGCGAAGTAGGAGTCGCTCTCCCCTACCACATTCAGCACCGGGATATCCTTGGAGCACTTGTCCTCGCAGATGAGCGCGTTCTCTGCGCAGCTCACAAAGTAATTGAACTCGCAGCTCCACCCCGAGAGGATGATGCCGCTCAGCTTGCTGTGCAAGGCCTCGTTGTAGTAGCGCCCGGCCACCGCGCCGCCCTCGCTGCGGCCCAGCAGGAAGACCCTAGAGGCGGTGAAGAATGCAGACAGCAGGCTCTCGCGCTTGGATACGAAGGCGTCCATCTCCAGCGCTCGGATGCGGTAGTTGCGTTCCATGTACTCGGCGTAGTTAGCGCCGTTGTTGAGGACGTTCTCCACTTTGGTGGAATACATGAACGGCTTCGACCAAGTTTTCGCAGTCTCGTTGTACGCGTCCATGGCACCGCAATAGTTCGAGGTGTCGATCTCCGACGTGTTCTTCAAACTGATGGCACCCTTGTACCCCATCTCAGCCGGCTGCGACTGGCTGTCGGGGAGCACCACCACCCACCCGAGCCCAGAAAGCGTGGCGGCATAGGATACTGGGTTCCAACGAACCCCAGACGTGCCGTGCAGCAACACAACCAGCCCGCTCGAACAATCCGTCATGTTCGCCAGTTTCGCGTATTCCGTGTCTGGGTCGCTCATGCGAAAGTAGAACATGCCATTTGGTCCGTCTGGTGCCCGGTCCGCGAAGTTGGACGCCGAGCCGAAGAACGCTTCCTCTTTCTGGTAGCAGGCGGCTGGGATGGCCACCAATGCGTTGTCGCCAGCGTACTCGTACTTGGTCACGTTCTGGTCGATTGCAGGCACCGTGATGTTCACATCGTCGTACGGCATGTACATTTCGAAAGATGTCTGGCCCGTGCCGTTGGAACAATTTGTGATGCTGGTGCCCACGATCGCCGTAGCGGATCCCCCGGTAGCCACCTGGGAGCTTCAAAAGCGTCCGCTGGATCTCAGAGCTAGATACGGAGAGGGGCACGGAGAGAGAAGGCGAGCTTCGACTCGGTGAGCCTCCGTGGGTCCGGGGGGGACCGCTCGCCGGTTGCAGTGTACGCGCACGGATGGGAAACCTGCGGCACGGCGCAAGGATCAGAGCCTGGCACGCTGGCCCTCCTCATACTGAGCATTTTCTTAGGGTGGAGGGCTCAAGGTGAAATCCATATGGGCTTTTGCACCTCGAGAATCAATCCGTCTTGTGATTCACCTGTTGCAGATTCAAGCCTCGACAATCAATCGAAACGGCATTTCAGATTTCACCCTTTGCCCTCCACCCAAAGAGAATGCTTGGTCACAAGACCCTACACGCGGGGGCCCAAAGAATATACACCACCACCACCACCACCACGTCGATTCCTCCTCTCTCCTCTTTCCAGCGAGAGGGAGGGGGGGAGGGAGGTGATGCTGGTGTATCTTCTTGGGCCCCCCAACACGTATGCCTGGCCAGGGCACGGAGGCCCCCCCCCTCAAAAACGACGGAGGCCCCGTGTGCCTGCTGCCACTCAGGCGGCGAGGCAGCGGCTCCGTGTGCAAGGCTGGCCCTCCCTCCCTCGAGAGCGGGCGCAGGGAGCGTGCGCGCAGGGCCCCGCACCGGAAGCGATGGGGCCTCCGTCCGTGCAGGCGTTCCACTAGGGGGCCACACGCGAACTCTACCCCTGCCCCCCGCGGTTTCTGAGGGGGGAGGATGGGGTTCACTTCGCTCGGGAGCTCCCGAACGCAGTGAACCCCACCCTCCCCCCCAGAAATCGTGGGGGGTAGGGGTAGGGTTCGCGTGTGACCCCCCTGTTCCACGGCTTCAGACTTCTAGTTAAAAATGTGATGGAACCTCCAGTAGGCACCTCGGTCTTGAAAAGATTGGAAGCCAATAGGTTTGTGAGGATTTCGACGCGCGTGCGCGGAGACGCCCCCGTGTGGCCCGCACGGTGTTATTTAACAAAGTTGGCGGGCGCGCGAAGGTTGTTGCGTTGAACGTTTACGATATGAAGGCGCGTGGTCCCCGCACAGCCTCGTGTTACGGAACATGTGCAAACATATGGCTTTCTCACGAGCTCACCGAATGCACGCGTAGAACTATACGGGAACTCGTTGTTGAACACACACACTGCCATTCTCATGGCACATATTGAGCAGCACTGCATTGACATGATGAGCCAACAATTGGTTTTGAGCTATGTTGCCATGGTCGCACGGCGGCGCGCGCATGCGACACGCATCGCTAATGTTGCCAACATGATCATATTTACATTTCTTCTGGGATCAATGCATGTGCACAGCACTATGGTTTTTTAGCGAGGATGGCGGGAGCGGGGTTGACACCGGTTGGCTGGGAATGGTCTTGCGTGATACCTCAAACGAACGATCGTGCACAAAATGAAAACGAGAAGGAACAATACGCGAAGGGGCGTCATTGAATCCAGCCTCTGTGGGCGGGGAGAAGATCTTTCTCTTGTGCAGACAGATACCAGATGTGGGTCATTGCGTGAGAGGTGAGGATTTATCCATATCCACCGCCTGGGAACCAACGTCCTGGTGTTCCACCCGGCGGTGGACATGGATATGGAGAATGGGGCAGAATCACATGTGAAATGCAATACGAAAAGGTGACCCGTTGAGTCCGGGGGGTAGACCTGAATTTTTGTTGTAGGAAGAACAATATATGTGGTACAGTCCTCGTTGCGGCGACGGGGCAGCGACGAGGCGGCGACGGCGAGCACATGGCCGCCGACTGCCACACAGGCCCGGGCAACGGGCGGCGACGAGGCGGCGACGGGTTGGCGACGACGAGCACATGGCCGCCAGACCGCCACCCAGGCGCGCTCATGTGCCTGGGAATGCGACGTGTTGCAAGGGACTCCGAGAAACGATGTTTGACGTCGCAGCGCGGCAGGGGCACTCCGCGCACGCGCGTCCGGGGTGACACCGGGGCGCGGAACCACGAGTTGGCTCACACGCAAGCGGGGAGGGAAAGAGGAGGGGGCGGCCGCGGGAGGGGAGGGAGCGCGGGGGTGTACTCGCGCAGCGGGGCTGCAGTGGGCGCGTGGGCGCGGCCAGGCTGAGGGCCCACGCTGGCAGCGGCTGCGGGGCGGCTTCGCAGCGCACCCAGGGCGGGAAGCAGCCGCAGTGCGGCCGTGATCTGGCAAGAGAGAGGGTGGGGGCGGCGGCGGCGGCTGGGAACCAGGTGGCCGGCGGAAGAGCGGTGAAGAGGTGGGCTTTCAGAAACAAGCGCTTCTTAGGTCCACGCAGTTGTACCGCAGTGTCCATTTGCAGGATATGCCAGGGATGTCGGTGCCCACCTGGCTTGCATGACACTATTTGGTATTTAGGATGGGTGATCGTGCAAAAGAAGCATGAACAACAACATGTCCCAAGGGGGGGAGGATAACTGTAGCCTAGAAAGGGGGAGCATCATACCCTGAAAAAATAGAATCGGAAATGTGATCCAGAAAACCATCCGTTAAGAAATCTGGGCCAGCTTCATCAAGGTTTCTTGAAACTTACCTGGGCAAAGTTCTGTTGCTAACGCTGGGGGAGCGAAACTGCTCAAGAAGCTGGGCCAGCGTTCCAGCAAGCTGGTCGAGGAACGCTGGCCAAGCTTTTCGGCAGGAGACTTCCTAATCATCTTCTCGACCGTACTTGCACTGAGGGGTTATCCCATGTTCCCTACCTAGGCTCTGCCTAGAAGGGTTCTTACTCTCTTTGCTTAAAGGGCCAGGCAGTGGGAACTGGCCCGGGCGGTTCCCCCAGGATCCGCCCCGCGGTTCCCCCAGTTACGTCCCCTTAGCTTAGCGTTGCTTATCTCATCTTAGCTTAGCTTATTTCATCTTAGCTTAGCTTAGCTTAATCTTAGCTCAGGTGTATCTTAGCTTAGCTTACCTTCATCTTAGCTTCGCTGAGCTTTAGCATAGCAGAGCACAGCATAGCATAGCATAGCGTAGCATCGCGTAGCATGGCATAGCGCAGCACAGCATATCATAGCACAACCCAGCATAGCATAGCATAGCGCAACATAGCATAGCATAGCATAGCATAGCGCAGCACAGCACAGTTCAGCATAGCACAGCGCAGTATAGCCTAGCATAGCAGAGCAGAGCATAGCATAGCAGCAAAGCAAAGGCAAAGCAACAGCAGCGACAGCAAAGCAAAGCACAAGCAACGCAAAGCAAAGCAAAGCAAAAGCAAAGCAGAGGAAAGGCAAAGCAAAAGCAATGTGCGACAGATGCCGAGCTAACGCAGCATAGCATAGCATAGCATAGCATAGCATAGCATAGCATAGCGCAGCATAGCATGGCATAGCATAGCATAGCATAGCAACTAATGCTGCTTTCCTAGGGGCTCCAACTTCTAGGTAGGGTCGCACTGGGGCAATCTTAGTTAATGCGAGGCGGGGGGGTATCCGTATCCACCGCCTGGGAACCGACGTCCTGGTGCCCCAGCGGGCGGTGGACATGGACACATGTTGGCCCCCGGGGGCCCGAGTGTGTCCACATCCACCGCCTGCCGCGGTCCCGAGAATTGATCCTCCAGGCGGTGGTCATGCACAGAGTCCTGCCTCGGACAAGACCCAAGGAGCTGGACGGGTGCGGCGGGGTCTCGCGACGTTTTTCGGGGCCGTGCCGTCTCGTAGGCGCCCGCCGCCTGGGGGGGCCAGGCACAGTCGGCAAAAGCGACGGAAACCAGCGCTCAGGGGCCCCGGGGGGGGGCCAGGCACAACTGAAGGGGCCCTGGGACACACAAATAAATACACACAAATAACCAGATTCCCAATATTTGTCCATATTTTCTCGGCTTTTTGTCTTCCCCCCCACTTCCCGTATTTTCCCATATTTTCCTGGGAGTGGACGATTACTTGTGTCTGTGTGTTCTTTTCCCTCCTGAACAACCGGAAATGAGCGAAAATCGAAGCTCACGGACCCTGAGCGTGCGCCACGCACAGTCGCAGAGGAGCAAGGCAGACCAGGCGAAGGGGCCCTGGGGGTGCAAGTGCAGCATCGCAGGAGGAAGCGAAAGCTGGCGCGAGCGGGCCCTGGAGGTGCTGGGCGCATTCGCAGACAAGCGAAGAGCAACGCGAGCCGGAGGTGCCAGGTTCAATTCCAAATGAAAGAAGCACAACGCGAACTGGCCCTGGAGGTGCCAGGGTCAGTCACAGATCAGCGACGTTCGCGAGCTAAGGTGGCGCGGCCGCCAGGCGTACTAAGACGAGCCCCCGGGACCCCAGGCTAAACCGCGAGGAGGAAGAGGAGGAGGAGGAGGAAGAGGAGGAGGAGGAGGAGGAGGAGGAGGAGCCGGAGGAGGAGAGGAACAGGAGACGGGGGAGGAGGATATGGAGAATACAGAACATGTGGAAGTCAGCGGTGTTGCCAGCCCTTGCAGCCAGAGATCCAGGGGGCAGCCAGAAAGTTCATGAAGCAGCCCCAACTGCTGATAGAGGCTGTGCTTGGACCCACGCGCAAAAACCACGGGGTGCACAGCCGCCTGGCCCCGCGGGCTCTTTGCCGGGAATCCCAGGGGAGTAGGACTATAGGGGATCCGGCCAGGGACCGCAGGGGGGCAGAAGCTGTTGCTCACGCGCCTGCAGGGGGGGCGTCGAGTTAGGATTCGTTCCTTTTCCCTGGGCGTGGACCCTATGCAAATGCAATGTGCCTGGGGCGAGACTTCGAACAGTTGCTCGCCAGTTAGTTAACTTCATTCCGCCAGGGCTTAGGAGAATGGCTTGGATAACTGGCAGGGGCATTGGATGAGGATGAGGATAACAGGGGAAAACAAAAAGAGCCACACTTTGTTGGGTTGATTCTCGTGCGCAGGCGCCCGCTGTAGTTTGACACCTTGGATGGCCTGGGGGCTCTAAGGTTCCTCATCTCCTCAGCTGGTGCCTGGTAGTTGCCGTCTGTTACCGTCGTGGTATCTATGTCATTCGCGCAGCGTGCCATTTCCGCAGCTGCTCCACGTTCAGGTCGGCGCTCAAAGCATGGCTCGTGGGCCACACATCCTGAGCCTTGTCACACACGTTCATGCGCTTGGAGCTGGAAAAGAGCGTCGAGTGAGATCTGATTCCGCAGTGGATCGACACAACATGAAGAGGAGGAGGAGGAAGCGGAGGAGGAGGAGGAAGAGGAGATGGAGAAGAAGAATAACAGAAGTGTAGACGAAACACTGTCGTTAGCTAGAGACTTTCGGAAGCCACCGGCAACGCCGACTCGTGCACGGTGGTCGTGGAGGCCATGGGCGAAAAACGAACAACCCACACCCATACCCCATAGGGGGACGGAGGGGGCCGTGCGTGCGTGTTGTCAGATGGGGGTCCCCGCTCGAACGGGAGCCTCACACGGGGTCCGACAACCCGCACCCATACTTATGGCTAGCTCTGCTCCCTCAGGCCCCCCATATGGGTATGGGTGTGTGTTCTTCGCTCGTCAATAGGAGCGCCGGTGGAAGCCGACGGCGAAGACATGTCGTCCAAAACGGTCTCGGTGGCCACTGCAGATGCATCAGCCTCGGTGGTGCTCACCTCCTCGCCAGAGACGGTCATGGATGATCTGGCCGTCTCCACCTCAGTGGTGTCCCCCTCGGCTGCGGTCGAAGTGGCCATGGGCGCAGCGGTGGGAACCGCCGGCAGCGGCGACACGTCCGCGTTGGTCGTGGAGACCACGGGGGCGGCGGTCGATGCCGACGGCGACGGTTCCTCGTCCACGACGGCCGCGGTGGCCGCTCCAGTCACATCCGCCTGGGTGGTGGCCACCTCCTCGCTGAGCAGGGTGGTGGAGGCTCCAGCCGTCTTCGCTTCGGTGGTGGCCGCAGCCGCGGTGGCCGCTCCAGTCACATCCGCCCGGGTGGTGGCCACCTCCTCGCTGGGCAGGGTGGTGGAGACTCCAGCCGTCTTCGCTTCGGTGGTGGCCGCAGCCGCGGTGGCCGCTCCAGTCACATCCGCCCGGGTGGTGGCCACCTCCTCGCTGAGCAGGGTGGTGGAGACTCCAGCCGTCTTCGCTTCGGTGGTGGCCGCAGGCGCGGGGGGCGGCGGAGGGGAGGGTGGGGGCGGTGCTGGCGGTGCGCCGACCTCCGCGGAGGGCACGGAGGACGGGGCCGCGCGAGGCGTGGGCGGCGGCGCCGGCGCAGGCTCGCCCAGCTTCAAGCTCACGGTCGCGTCCAGGCTGTGCAAGGTGCGCCTGCATGCCCCCTCTTGAGGGATGCAAAGACGCCCCTACCCTGGGTTACAAGTGCGTGGTCTGTAAACCTCCTGGGAGCTCCCAAAGGCCAGAGACCCGCCAGGACGCCGCGTGACACGCGCGATATGCAGGGTTTACCCTGTCAGCCCACAGGAGGTTCAGCGCACAGCGCGTCGTAAACCAGGGTAGGGGCGTTTTTTTGCGCCCTTGAGCCTCGGCGCACCCTGGGGCGCCCCTGCGAGCAGAGGGGGCGAACGCCGCCACCGCGCCCAGGGCCAGCAGCGCGGCCACCGAGCCCGCCACGGGCCGCCACGCCGAGCGACGCTGCGGGCGGGAGGGCGCCGGCCAGAGCGGCGCAGCCTGCTCTTCCTCGGACACCTCGAGATCCAGCAGCGGCGCCCCTGCGTGGCCCTCCATGGCGCCGTCGAGAAGAGCCACGGCAGGTGCGCAGGGTGCGGCCGCCGCTTGAGCCAAGCGCGCTCTCACCGACTCTGCGGGCGGCTCGGCGGCGTTCGGCACATTGCAGTGCCCCATCCATGCTCGCGCGCTCCGCCCTACCCCGACCAGCCACAACCGAGGGAGCCGCGCTTCACAACCCCCTGGGGTGGCACCCATCGTCTCGACGACATCGCGAGACGGCTGTCGGGGCCGATAGGATCCCCCAATCGGGCGCACGCGAACATGGATAACTGATGCGTGGATCTCGCGCGCGTGGGCGCCAGATCCACGGACTGGGGAAGGTACCCGTCGGTCGGAAGAAGTAGGTGAAAAAGCAGGCAGTGGGCAGGCGGACAGAGGAGACGGGGCCCCGGCCCTCCCAGAGAGCCAGTCGAACACAGCAACAGCGCAGCGACTCTTGATTGGGATCCGGGGATCTAGGAAGACACCGGCTCTCAACGACCGACGGGTGCCCCCAGACAGCCTCGAGCCCGCGCCGCCCGGTGCGGCGACGGAGCGCGCCAGGCTCCGCGAAGGGGGGGCACGGGGCCCGCACTGCTCTGCCTCCGCGCACCCTGCGGCCCTGCGGCCCTCCGCGCTCTCCGCGAGCGTGTGCTTTTTGGGGCCCCGCGAGGCCGAGGCCGCCGGCTCGCCGAAGCAGCGCAGGGGCGTGCGCGCGAGGCAGGGCCGGGCGGCCACGGCCCTCCGAGGACTCTTCAGGCCAGGTGTCAACCGCGCAGGAGACATGGGGCGCACCGAGGCATACTAATACTATATGTCCTCCTTGGAGGCGCGCGTCCGACCCGAACATACAGTATACCCATCTTGTAGTATATCGTTTCCCGAGCGGTGTGGCCAGAAAGCGTCCGCCACGACGCATATACTATAAGATTTCTCGGTGTGCGCGTCGCCCCTGGGGGGGCGACGCACATATAGTATAAGTATGCGGGGGTTGTGCCGAAGACACGCTGAGCGCGGAGCACTCAGAAAGCATCGTGGGGGCCAGTCCACAGGAGGCCTTCCACAAAAAGCCCAGCCCTGGGACCCCCAGGACGTCCATTGGTTTTTGGTGTCGGACCGTCACGCTTTCCCATCGCAAAACCATGCACGGTGTTTCTTGGCATGGGCCCCCGCTGTAAGCGTATTCCCAACTACACGGTGAGAACAGGACCACAACCGCAACCCACGCTGCTTGCGCACCCTCGAGGCGAGGCATGCTGGGGCAGCTGGGGGTCCCCCCAGGGGGTGCCAAGCACCGCAGCTCCCCCCTGGCTCTGGCTGGTCTGCTGCCCTCCGCCTCACGACGACAACGACGACAACGATGACGCCGCCGACAACGACAACGACAGCGACGACGACGACGACGACGACAACGACGACGAAGACGACGAGGACGAAGACGACGACGACAGCGACGACAGCGACGACGACGCCGACGACACCAACGACGACGGCGACGACGACGCCGTCGCCACCGCCGCCGACGACGACGTGAGCAGGGGAGGCGGAGAGGGCGGCGACGAGCCCTCGCCCTCGCCTCGTCCTGAGGTCCTCGCAGGTGTCGCCGAAGCAGGTAGGAATCCTGGGCGCGCGTCGTCGTCGCCCTTGTCGCCGTCTTGGACGCCTTCGGCGTCGTTGTCAGCGTCGGTGTGGGCGTCGGGGCCGGCGTCGGTGTCGGCGTCGGCGTCGGCGTCGTCGTCGGCGTCGGCGTCAGCGTCGGCGACAGCGTCGTCGTCGCCGTCGTCGTCGCCGTCGTCGTCGCCGTCGCCGTCGCCGTCGCCGTCGTCGCTG